TCCTCTGACTCTCACGAGTATGAAGACTGGGAGCAAGAGGATGCTCAGATCATCACATGGTTGTGGAACAGTATGGAACCCAGGATTAGTGTGAACTTCTTGTTCCTTGATTAGTGTGAACCCAGGATTAGTGGAACAGTATGTAACCAGCTTGAGGGGGAGTGTTAGCGTAGGGGTATTTCTGTCTTTATACCTTGATTAATGTTGCTGATCTGTAATGTTGTGTTGGAACATGTGCTCTTAACTTGAGTAAGGGCACATAGGTCTTTTCAGTCATGTTTTAATAATAATATAAATACTTACTGGCCGACTGGGAGAAGTCTAGTTGACTCTTTCTGTTCGAACCAGAATTCTCTCTTCTCTCTCTCTCTCTCTCTCTCTCTCTTTATAACCTTTTCTTCTTCTACATAACTGAACTCAGTCAGGCCGAACTCTAAGGCAGACCTGAATTATATCAATATGATTGATTGATCATGACGAAACCAAGTTTTAATTTAATTGCTGTTGAATCTCACCTTTTGAACAACTAGAAATCATTTTTTATCATTTAAACCTTTCACTCATATGATTATAATTTGTAAGGTGAGTAGATTGGTTTACTCCACTTGATAGAAAGTGCAAGTGATTCTGATAGATCAACAAAATAATTTATTATGCAAACAAAAGCTAAAGCTTAACTTCATGTATGAAAAGAACTTTAAGTTGACTCAAGGTAATAATCATGTATATTGGGTGGGTCATAATACTGCTACTGCACATATCTGCAGCATTATTTCCAACTTATGTTATAATACCATCTCGTGCACTTCACATGGTGCCAGTAGTTTTCACTAGGGAATATGTTGGTTCCAATAATGTTTGTGTCCGTACCCATGGGAATGGAAGCATTTCATGAAAATGTTAGCAAATATTTGACATTTTAGACCATAATTGCGTGGATGGATTTTTCTCGATAGCATAAATATCACTTTTTCCTGTGGAGAATTTGATTTAACCTTATAAACCCTTTTTATGTAAACATTTTTGGAATTTTATGTAAAAATAAAAAATAAAAAACTTCAGCAGTGAAGTCTGAGGTATTTCCAAAAATGAGGCCATTTTGGTTTAACTCTTCAAAGCATTCTTTTTAATATTTTGTTCAACAGTGAAGGTGCAGGTGGTGGTCATGCTCCAGATATTATCAAAGTGTGTGGTCTGAAGAATGTCTTGCCCTCATCAACAAACCCAACACGACCATTTACAACCAATACTGTAGATGAGCACCTTGATATGTTGGTAAGGGAAAGAGAAGAGGAAGTATTGATTTGCTTGTAAATTCTATTACGCGTTAATTTTGTCATGCATGCTCTGAAACTGAATGGAATTCATACAGATGGTTTGCCATCACCTTGATAAGGACATTCCAGAAGATATATCATTTGCTGAATCTCGCATACGAGAAGAAACAATTGCTGCAGAAGACATTTTGCATGACATGGGAGCCATCAGCATTATATCTTCTGATTCACAGGCTATGGGTCGTATTGGAGAGGTTTTTCTACTTTGCCTATAAATGGTTCCGTTGCATTATATCCTATCTTCCAAGTTGTTATCCATGACTCTTAGATATTTTGTTGGACTATTAGTAATTAGTTTTGAAATTACTGGTATCCTGCTCAGATGTCACATTAAATGAATCCACACATCTGATGCATTTGAGGCTGTCAAAAAGACTAATGAGTTTCAAGAAAATCCAGGAGTGAAGGACTTCATTTCAATTTTAATATACAACCAGGAATGGATCCAAACAAGATATTAGGATATGTAGGTCCTACTTTGATTTATGAAGTCATTTTATTTCTGCTTGATGTCATATATGCTTGTTAAAAGTTATAGGGTGTTGGCATTGCAACACTGGGGGTACTAGTAAGCTGAATGCCCTTTAAGCATATATCAAAGGTTTAAAACTTGTCCCTCTTGATAGGCATGTAGTATCAGTGTTTTCCCCCTATTTTCTATTGGATCAATAATAAAATATATTCTATTGAAATAAAGACACAAGAACCTCATTACCCTATACTATTTGGGACAAGGAACAACAATCAGAACCCACCAACAAGCCATAATATTGTTGTTCAAAAAAAGTTAAGAAAGATTATCAATGAATCACGGAAATGTTGTTTTCTAATGGAAATTTTAAGGTTAAATCACTCAATTTCTATTGGTATATTTTTTGTCTTTATAAATTTAGATACTCCTTAGAATATAGGGGCCAAAAATAAAAGTTAACTGGTGATTGCATCCTCTGCAGATGCACATGTTATGAATGCAAAATTTGTTTTGGAATTTTTTGTGCTTAAGTCGAGTCAATGCTCTTTGTACCCAGGTTATAACCAGGACATGGCAAACCGCTCACAAAATGAAGGCGCAAAGAGGATCAATTGATCAAAGTGATACACTTAATGACAACTTCCGAATCAAACGATACATTGCAAAGTACACCATAAATCCTGCAATAGCTAATGGATTTTCTGAATATGTTGGTTCAGTTGAGGTATGATAATTTCAATCTTGTAAATTATAATGAATTTGTTTCTGTTACATTTGAAGTTCTGAATTTTTAGTATATCTCAAGGACATCAATGACTATCTAAACAGAGTGCATAAAACACACAAAGATGCAGTTGGTATTCCCAATTCATTTGGTTCTACCTAGAATTTCTCTAAATACATCTACTTGATAGCTTTTTATTTTTGACAGTTTTGCTTTTGGGTCCCTATTTTGGGCTTTCTAGAATAATTAACATGACTGGATAAATTATGTATACCTTTGAGAAGGAATATCCACTTAGGTTGGATTATTGAGTGGTGCATATGAAGTTCATAGTCATAAATCTCATTCTGATGAAAATTTCTTACAATCAGTTTATTTCTTTCTTCTTTCCATTCCATTTTGTTAATGTCTTGATATTCAAGAAATAAAGGTACATGTATTTTTGGAATATTTAAATAATTTAACCATTAACTTGTTCACCCGGAAATGTTGGTTCAGTACTATGACTGAGTTTGTGGGTGCAGATGCATATGTGCATAAAGTAAAAAATGAAAAATTTGATGATAACCAAATCAAAATATCACCATATTTTTCCTTTGATAAAACAAAAGGGTAATTAAAATGAGGGAAAGTAGACTAAGATGGTTTAGCAGATGCAAAGAAGACCATCTACAGAACCAGTGTGAAGATGTGATCTACTACAAGTCGAAGTCCAAAAAAGGCTAGGGGCAGACCAAAAAGGACATGGGTTGAAGTAGTGAGAAATGATTTAAGGGCCCATAATTCAGCAATGGATATGGCACTGAACAGAGTGAAATGGAGGAAAAAGATTCATGTAACTGACCCGATATAATTGGGACAGGGCTTAGTTGATTTTCTTGAAAAAGGTACACCTTTGAATATGTCAAACGGGACTAGATCTTTTGTGAACATGACCATGGTGAACAAGTCTTTCTTCCCATCTCTGTAAACCATACGTCCATCACACGGAAAAGCATGGACTTGATCTTGTCCATCTTTTGACTTGAATGGAGACTTGTTGCATACCTTGAGGAACTTGGGTTTGTTAACAGGGTCTTGTTCAAAGCATGTCAGTTTTCTTGGTCACTTCTCTTTTTTTATCAGCATTCTTGGTCGCTTTTCTTGATTTGCATTAGTATTGTTTGCCCAACCATATCAATATTTTCAAAACTTTATGGTCACAATTAAATCATGAACCCCAAGGGCACCAATTTGAATCTTATAATCGGATTTCTGAAAAAGAAAAAGGAAAACTTAAAGTCAAATAATGTATCTTAATTATTTATTAAATTCATGTGATTTGAATCAATTCACTGGAACTTGATTACTTATATTCCCTTTTTTCTTAACTTTTTCCAAGGGTCTTCTATTTTAAAATACATTGCTAGAAAAAGACTTACTTGAGTTGTTTTAAAACATTAGGTCAATGAGCCATTTTATGGAGCAAGGTTTGGCTGAACGTGATGGCTGTTCAGCAGGCTGTGGAACTAATGATAAGGTTCCACACCAGTATTTAAATACATGGGGCCTGCACCTTTTATGGTGGGGCCCATGAATTTATTACTGGCGTGGAACCTCATCTGGTTCCACAGCCTGCTGAACAGCCATCACGTTCAGCTAATCCGAATTCCATTTTATGTTGGTAAAAAGCGGAACTTGATTATACATTCTTTTGCTCATTATGTTGGTAAAAAGTCAAACTTGATTATCATCATCCAAACTTATCCCGACTGGGGGGGCTGGGNATAGGTGATAAAATGAGAGAAAGTAGACTAAGTTGGTTTGGTGAAACAGGATTCATTTAGTGAGTTGATGATGGGGCTAGAAGGGGTAGGGGTAGACAAAAAGGACATGGTTCAAAGTGGTAAGAAATGATTTAAGCACTAATAATTTAACAATGGGTATGGCATGCATGATGCTTTTGACAAAATTCTTACAAAAAAGAACATATTTTATGGTATATGGTACGATTTATGACTTGTTTTGCCCTTCTATAATATATTTGGTCATTTATTTAATTTTAAGTCCAATCTTTACAACATTTGAAACAATGACTCAATAAAGACAACAAAGAAAATATTTAATACTTTTCTGGATATATTTTTATTTCCAGGCTGGGAAGTTAGCAGATCTTGTTCTATGGAAGCCTTCATTTTTCGGAGCAAAACCAGAAATGGTGATCAAAGGTGGTGCAATTGCTTGGGCTAATATGGGTGATCCAAATGCAAGCATCCCCACTCCTCAACCGGTAAAACTTTATTTTACTCTGTTTTATTTGTTTAAGAAATATATCTAGCTAAATGGATAAAATATTATAAAATTCTGAAAATCTTGATCCTTCTACCCAAAAAAGAAAAAGAAATTCTTGATTCTGTGCAGGAGGGCAGAGACCGTCCTTTCAACAGAAAATTAATTATGGAGAATGCTACAAAATTATGTTTTTATCTTATCCTTTGGATGCTTGGTATTATCTGATTGAATTAATATTTAATGGTGGAGGTCTCCTACATGGGATTCAATTCATGTAATAGTTACTATTACGGGTCTGGTATATCATTAGATTGAATAATTCTCCATAATTCTATCCCCCTTTCTCACAAACAGGTCCATACACACACAAATACAATGAATCAAAGTTGTCCAAAGTAGTTAAGTGAAGCATTGGTGGTTGCAGGTGATGATGAGGCCCATGTTTGGGGCATTTGGCAAGGCTGGAAGCTCAAATTCCATTGCATTCGTCAGCAAGGCATGCTCCTCTTTCTTCCATTGCATTCCAATGTACAGCTGTAGTGTCATATGGGCAGACGTGGGTAGGATTCTTTTGGGCAGGAAATCCGAGTCTACAAGGAGCTACCACCTGTTACTATTTTATTATTCACGTTGGACTAACTGAAAATTGTTGTTTCTGGTTAATAGGCTGCTAAGGACGCCGGAATAGAAAAAGAGTACGGACTGAAGAAGAGGGTGGTAGCCGTGGGCAATGTGCGGAGGCTCACAAAACTGGACATGAAGCTCAATAGCGCACTTCCAGTAATAGATGTGGACCCGGAGAAGTACACCGTGACAGCAGACGGCGAGGTACTCACCTGCACTGCAGCCACCACGGTTCCTCTGTCCAGGAATTACTTCCTCTTTTAATTTTATTTCTCAAACTGCTTACAACTGCCAAAGCTAATGAATAACTAACCAATGCTCGAAATTCTCCATTCCATTCTGTGTTATCTATCCCAACTATATTTTCTCTATTCACCAACTGCGTGGTTTGGACTGGACTCTAGGGTCCATTCTTTCATTGCCACAGTCAATGGTGGAAGAGGAAGAGGAGCTTACAGCTGTTCACTGATCAGGTTTCGGGCCGGGCCCATTCAAATTTTAGCAAAAGCTAAACCCGAGCCCGGCCCATGAACAGGTTTACGAGGGTGGTCAAGTTTTGGAGTTCAACTTGGGCGGGCTTGGGTTCATGATTTGTTAAAAAGTGAATGGGCCCCTATATAGAGCTGTGTAAATACTTCAATCGGGTACCACCCCCCCCACCATCCAAATTCTAATCTACTATTGTCATCGATTAGTTTTTCTGAGTGGGACGTGCATGAGGAAGGAGAGCGTGGAGAGAAGAATGATTGGATTTATGAATTAAAATTTTGGGAGAATTAATTGTCTCGCATGAGGCCAAAGCAAGTATGGACATTATGTTTATCTAGTAATCATACAATTTAGGGTGAATAATGGGCTGGGCAGCCCTGAGCCCCCGACAGAACTAAACTTAACCTATTCATATAGGGTCTGGATCTGTCCCGGTTATAATTGGATCGGTTCTTGTTTTTGATATTATGTCATGATAAAAATGAGTCAACATTGGTTTTGATTGTTTTTGAACCAATTAATGTATAGGCATATTTTTCTCGTAGTGTACCGTATACTTTTAACAAATAAATAATTTATTGTTAAATTATATGGTTATTAATTATAATTATTTCTATCGGGTTAGACCTCATGGCCCCAATTAAGAACAATTTGTTTTCTATGATTATATTACATAATACACAAAAAAATTGCATAAAAGTTGAATATGTCTGGTATTTATATATTCATCATATTGAACAAAAATAAGTTAGTACATGAGGGTTTTATTATTAATGATGGAAGGAAATGGTTAAAAACACAAAAGAAAAAAAAATACAGGAGGTCAAGAAGTTTAATGAATCAACCAAACGGATTGGTTGAATTCATTTTTATGTTTCACGGGTGAATGTTTGGTTGTTTGTCATAAATCAATGGCGAAAAGACATGGTTTTTGTATTTAATGTCTAAGCCTAATTAGTTTTAAATCAGGGGCGAAAAGACATTGTATTTAATGTCTAAGCCTAAATCAATAGAAGTGTAGTGTATGAGAGTGGGCAATTCTTTTCTATTTTAACTTTTAAATAAATAATAATTAGTTATATTTTATATATTATTTTTAATATTTTTTTATAATAAAAAAATAACAATAATTAATTTCAGCTAGGGTTGTTTATTAAACTGGTGAAACCAACTAAACTTACCAACACGACCCAACTTGACCTGAGTTGGTAGGTTTTATAGTATTTCTGGTGGGTTTTGGTGTAGCAATCTTCTAACCTAATCAGGTCAAGTCAATTTCGATTTGGCTATTTGTAAATCGACAATTGGGAAATTTTTCATATTTCTTAGTCTAAAATATTTTATATTGTAAATTTAAAATTTTTAATTTACTTTTTAATAATATCATTGTAATTATTTATTTATTTTTTTAAGTTTAAATCTTTTAAACCAATTAACCAAACCAAAAATTTACCCAAACTGATATAACCTGAGTTGGCTAATTTTTACTAATGGTTGGTTGGTGTCGGGTGGAACTCCCCAACCTGACCAAGTCAATTTGGTTGGCTAAACAGCTTACAACTGAACTAATAGTCTAATCTCTAATAAATAACAATAGTTTAATCTCCAATAATTACTAAAAGGTATCTATTAAATAACAAAACAAAAATAAATTTATACATAATTATTGAAAATATGTTTATCACAAAAATATAATAAACAATTATTAAAAATACAATAAATATAAATTTTAGTATATATAAATTAATATTTTAAAATATTAATAAATATTAAATTTTTGAAAATCATTTTCTAGAATTATTAATTGATATAAGTGAAATAATATTTTTATTATTAGTACATTAATAATTGCAATTATTATTCTATATATAATAATTCTTAATTTTTTTAATTCAAACGTTCTTTAGATAGATATAAATAAAAAGTGGGGGAGAGGATAAATAGGAATTAAAGATAATTTAGGAAAGAAACTCTCTATTAAATTAGAGATAATTTAGGAGATAAATAAGAATTATAGATAATTTAGGTGAATGTGGGGGATATTGGTGCAACTTGGCTATATTAGATTATATTTTAGTAGAGAGATTTTAGGAATAGATTTAGGAAGGGGTATCCAAAGGGGCAAAGGGATAAACATAGAGGAAAGAGGGTTGGGCTAGGTCTAATGAGGTGTCATTATGAGAGAGGGAGAAGGGAGTGATGAAGTGGCTTCATGAGGGAGCAATGAAGGCTAAAATGAAGAGGGTTTAAGAGTTGTTAGTGTAAGGGAGAAAGCTTAGGCTATCTAACGTGACATGCTTCTACTTTAGTATATATATAGACTAGTTGACCTGTTCATGGTAGGGGTGCAAGTTGGGCTGGGTTTATGGTCAACCTGGGCCCAACCCTAAAAATTGGGCTTAAGCCCAAGCTTGGATTGAGCCCGAGTTCAAGCCCGATCTTCCCAACCTGCATTTTAATTTGATGCACTCAGGTTGGGTGCTTGGGTATGGGCCGGGCTCGGTTTGGTCAATGAACCCACTCTAAAATTATATATATATATATATATATATATATATATATATATAGCATCAGCCTCGATTGCCTGCCGAGTACAAGCCGGGACATTGCCTGAAGGCCCTGAACAAAGGCATATCCAGATTTCAGATATCCTCATTCCCCACCCACTTGAACTGAAATTAGCTAGCAAATGGGCCACTTCAATTAGTACTCATTTTGCATTTTGAAATGATGGTCCATATTCTCACGATGGATTTCTCATGAATATTCTAAGTTTTGTGAGACATGACAGACTCAGTTAACTAGTTAACTATGATTTTAGTATACTCAATTCAGTTAATGAATTGTACGTTGAATCACAATACATCGTGCTAACATCTAACAAAAAGAATTTCCTCTACAGAACCCGTTTGTGGCCAGGAAATATTTGAATCTTCTCCGATTGGAGGACATGCATCCGATCCATTTACGATTTAGACGTTGGTTTAGGGTTTAAGGCTCAGTTTAGAAGGAATATAAATACAAATTTATACATTATAAATACATATAAAATGTATGATTTTGCACTCTATATATTTGTATTTATACTCCAATGAGCCAAAGGTTAAAACTTAGGTTTTAGATATGAAAACCAAGAGGTGATCAAACGCTTTCGCGCAATCATAACAGAGTGAAATAAGGCCCTTTTATAGCCGTCCACCCCCATCTACCCACACACAAAGGCCTGACTCAAATTAATGGGGTCAGGGATGTCAACAGGTCTAATATACAGGTTGGGCTTAATCCAACCCAGCCAACTATAACTGGTGCCGCTTCAACCTTTAAATAGTGGGGTGTGCCAGGCGCAAAGTGGGACAAAGTAAGGTGAGATACAAAGATGAAACTGTTAATAAAAGAAGAAAATAGATATGAAGTAATAGGAAAAGATTAAAAAAAAATAGTAACTTATAGAAAATCTTTATGGCATGATAATGTAAGGTTGTACTTGGTCCCATATATTTCTACCTGATGTGATGACATATATTTCTCATCAATTTAATTTGTATATATAGATCAAACCCAAACATTTGAGGTAGAAACAACAATAATACCAAACACAATCTAAGAATGAGATATATCATATATAACCTGAACTATTTATCTGGTTTGATAGAACATAAATGAATCAAAAACAAAAACTAAGGCTATATTCAGTTTAATAGACAAAAAATCAGAAAATTGAAAAAAAGTATGAGAATACTTGCCCTCAACTTTCTATTTCTCTCTTACTCTTTATCATATACACAAATTTTAAATCATGAAAACATATTGAACACAATATGTATAGTATCTACGAAGTTGATGTGATAATGATTAAAACTGAACAAGCAATTAGGTACCAAATATGAATTATTTATGCTGCTTTTTTTTATTATTTTCAGTCTATAGTGACCAAATTAGACATTCTTCTCGTGTTAAAAGGAATCTAGAAAGTAGAGTCTTATGCTATTAGAAAGTCTCACGCACCGAAGCTCTTGGCATGGGCCCTAGACTCAAAACAAGATCCTTGACTTAAAAGTTGAGGCAACTTTTATTCATCTCGTTGTTAGACTATTTTCTTTATTTATTATAAACAAACTAGTGAATGACCCCGTATTAAGTATGGAAAAGTTATATATATATTATTTATAAATTTCCATTTTTTAAGACATTCATGCATTCTATGGGTCCATATAAATTGACCCTTAAATGTCAAGCCCGTAAAATTATACAGGTCATTAAATTCAGCTTGAACCATTTATTATTTTAATTTAACCATTCTTATTTATTATTACTAATTTATTCTAGTATTTAATTTAAAGTTTTTGTATATAGTAATAATAATAACTAAATTTGTAATAAATTACATTTAATAGCATTTATTAACAGAAATAAATATTAATTAATTATAGTAATTATACTATTTTTTATAATATTTTAATCATAATATTAAAACTACTGTTATAAACAATTTATAATAATGATAGTCGTAATAAATTCAGTAATTTTTAAAATATATTAATAATTAGTAATTGATACTTATAATATTAGTAATTATCATTACTTATATAATTATGAATTAATATAAACATTAAATGGTTAAATCCGAATTAATGATTAGCATTATTACAATCGTTATTAATTATCAGTAATTAATTAAATCGGGTTTGTTTTCAACACAAACCGATGTAATTAATTATCAATCCGAATTAAAAATTATCATTAATTTCATTGCTGTTAATTATCAGTATTTAGTTATGTGTATTTAAGTAGTAGTAATTAATTAAATACCTTAATTAATAAGCAATAATTGAATGAATTAAATACCTTAAT